TGTTCCGTCAAATATCTAAACCGGTTTACAATTAGGTGCAAAACATCAGTACTGTTAAGATATGTAAATAAATATATAAAAACAATACAAGAAAATAAGTGTTTCACCTATGCAAACAGCTATCATGATAAGACAATGTACAAGTCCTTCACGACCAAATTTCACTGCGCCGTGCACAGCCCTCAAACTCGTAGTTGCCGAGGGGAGCCATTTAACCATATCACATCGTGGTATTTGAGCGCCTACAGTACCAGATTCATTTGGCACCAATTCGACCGCTAGAGCCACCTCACGGACATCACGAATGATGTTCCAGGAGCTGTTAATGCTTATATGCTATCGGACATACTGTCATCGCGGCCTGTTGAAAGACTGTAGGGCAGGTAAATGCTTTGGTTCGTACCGTACTTTTTGGCATCTCGTATTTAAGCGGAAATTAAAAAAAATGATACTCATGCGCTGTATCTTCTAATTCAAGAGAACGTCAACGTTTGAGATGAGTTTAAACAATGCATGCATCTAATCGGTGTTTATGGCTGGCAAGCATGAAATAAAAAATGTTTTACATATACTGATACATATTCAGGTCATATAGAAAGAATCTTCATCCTCTGAAACGATGAAAGCTGCTCTGCAAAGCATATATCGTTTTTAGACAGAATAGCCCTAGTACTGGCCTCGAAAATCACACGTTTGCTTTTCTCACGTTCAGAAAAATTCTACACACATTCCTGATTTATTTACTGTACACCTCATGCTAATTTTTAGTCAGCTATCCGGAGGGTCGATCAAGGCGAGCTGCAGTCATAAGGCACAAGCGTCAGACAGCGTCACCATCTGTAGTGTATGTTCTGAAATGACCATGGCAGAACATCTCAGTTGGCAACTATTCGTAGGTCAGCGACTCACTAACCTATTTCGGTTGATGGTGCCGAAATCTGATAAGGCCAGTTTATTTCTCAACGGAATCTGCAGTTAATAAGCACAATTTTTATGCCGCGCATGAAGTTTGAACCGGATACTTCTATAGTGCGAAACTAACTACAAATGAGTTGCCCCTCCTCAATACAGGCGGTTGTATAGTTTACGACCCCATTTACAGGCTGGTCTAAAAATATTTTTTATAACGGGTTTACTACATATGATTTTTCCTATTACCGAATGTCTGTAATTTCGTATCAAGCTTTATCACAAGTGTCAGGGTATTAGTACACAGCCAAGAAAGACTTTATGTAAGAAATTACGGCATTAACAGCCCTAACTGATTATCAATTCGCGTTGGCCTTCAGGCCGGTTAAGCATAGATGCCTTTCAAACTTACAAACGCTGATTTATTCACAAAAACTGTCCCCCTATTATGTTCATGCGGCAGTCAACCAGACCGCGTGATTTGACCATTAGACCCGTTACTATTTGAAGTGACAATTGAGGGCACGGCTGAGGGTGAAAGGCACCTCAGGCTGTCCTAAATGGAACCGTAGAAACCAACACAGAATAACAATTTTTTCAATGCCAAAATTCGCAACAGCATCCTTATCAAATTTAATTAATTAAACGTCTTTACGAGAAACAACAGGAAATAAGTCAACATACC